CGGCATGGGCCCCTCTCCTTCCTGGGCGAGCTGCGTGGAGCCGCTCGCCGCAGCCAGTCCCCGTCTCCTTGCAGCGAGATCGACAAGACCCTGGAGAACATGTCCAACTACAGGAAGAACAAGTGGATCATCGAGGGCCGGCTGCGCAGGTAGATGGGCTGGGGGGGGGCTGCCTGTGGCTCCCGCTGCCTGCACCCGCTTGGCAGGCAGCACCGCCTGCCTACCTACCGGCTGGGGGGGGCTGCCCTGCTGGACATGCTGGGTCCCATTTGTGGCCTCTGCACGTTCCCCTCCACGCCCCGGGTTTGGGGCGTCTGGGGGTCACTTTTCCAGCGCTGCGTTGTAGCCACATGCGTCGGCCTGCCGGGGGGAGCGGGCTGCACATGGGAGCAAGCAGCGGACGCCTCTGCTGTGTCTTGTCAGGTTGAAGATCGCCTTGGCTAAGAAGACGGGACGTCCTGAATCAGAGATCACTGGCCTGGAGGATGGGCGGCGCCGGCGCAGCTCCCGCCTGACAGAGGAGACGGGCCTGGAGATGGAGGAGGAGGAGGAGAGCCGCGGACGGAAATCCCGCAGGGAGGAGGAGGTGGGGTGGCCGCGGGGTCCGTCACTCACAGTGGGGCAGAGGTGGGGACGTTGCCCTCGGGGGTCTCTTCCCCGCCCGCCCGCGCTTCCCTGACAGGTCCCATCTCTTCCCCAGGCCGACACGTCTGCGTCCAGCATCCCTGAGCTCGAGAGGCAAATAGAGAAGCTGGCCAAGGTGAGCAGGCAGTGGAGGGCTGGTGGTTCGTCCCCCACTGCAGGGCTGCAGGTCCCATCACTGCTCTGCACTCTCCCCACAGAGGCAGATGTTCTTCCGCAAGAAGCTGCTCCATTCCTCACAGACGCTACGAGCAGCTTCTCTGGGCCAGGACCGGTACCGGCGGCGGTACTGGGTCCTGCCCCACCTGGGCGGCATCTTCGTGGAGGGCACAGAGGGTAAGCTGGGAAGGGGCTCCCAGAGGAGGGATCTCCTGGTTGGGAGAGGACCCTGCATCTCATCTCCTTTTCCTGCCCTTGCAGTGGCTGAGGCAGCACCCCAGGAGCCCCTGGAGGAGAAGGGGTGTCCCCCCAACTCCCCGGTGAAGGAGGAGCCGGTGGATGTGCCCATTCCCAGCCGGACAAACTGCACGGCCTCACGCTGCCGTGGCCGGCCCCGGAAGAGCAAAGAGGAGCTGTCGCAGCACTGCGGGCCCAGAGCCCCCCCTGTCAATGGGGTCCTGGAGGAGTCGGTGCCCATGGGGCAGAGCCAGCATGACCTCAGCCAGTCCGCCTTCCTTTCCTGGCTGAGCCAGACGCAGTCGTCCCTGCTCAAGGACTCTGTCCTCACCCCGGACAGCAGCCCCGGCAAGGGGGACACGGGGCTCCCACCGCTCGAGGCCCCATTGGACCCCGCAGAGGAGGAAGAGGAGGAGGAAGAGGAGGAGAGTGCCCCAGAGGCTGCGGAAAAGCAGGGGCCCTGGTTCAACCTGCTGCCCCGGACGCCCTGCGATGACCGAGCCCCCCTTGCTACCTCCTCTGCTGAGCCCTCGCCGCGAGCCACCATGCAGCCCCGCAGCCAGTCCCGCAGTGAGCTGCCCAAGGGCTCGGCCAGGCAGGTACGTGCTTGGGCCCAGCTGGGGCTGGTGGGGGGCTGCACCCAGCTTTTCCACCCTGGCCTGTGGGGACCGTGTTGGGCGAACCTCCCTGGGCAGCTGGGGGGGAGCAGGGTGGGACCCTCTGCCTGGGCACTGGACACCCCGGGGCTGGGGGATGCTGTCCTTGTGGCAGCACACCGGGAGCTCGGTCCTGCTGCCCCCAACCCTCTGGGCTGAGCTCGTGAGAAGCAAAACAGCCGCAGGGCTGGGGGGCCATGGGGTCAGGGACCAAGGAGCGGGTGTATGCCTGGCCCTTCTGACAAAATCCGTCCCCACCAGCTGAACGGTCTCCCCATGGACGACCCCACGGCTCCCCTGCTCGCTTCCACACCAGTGCATGCCGGCGCCAGGGCCCACGGCGCCTGCCCCAGGAGCCGGGGCAGCCTGGAGAAGCTCCAGGACTTGCCAGGGCAGCCCAAGCGCCGAGGGCGGCCCCCTACCAAATTCTTCAAGCAGATTGAACAGAAGTACTTGACCCAGCTGACGGAGCAGCCTGTTCCCCCTGGTGAGAGCCCAGCCCAGCCCCGGGACCCCCAGGATAGGGGCTGCTGGTGTTGAGCTGAGCAGGTTGCTGAGTGCCGCGGTGCTGCCTTGCAGAGATGCAGAGTGGCTGGTGGTGGCTGCAGGACCCTGAGGAGCTGGAGGCAGTGGCTCGCGCGCTGCACCCACGGGGTATCCGGGAGAAGGCACTGCACAAGCACCTCACCAAGCACAAGGAGTTCCTGCGGGAGGTCTGCCTGCGTGCCACCACCGGTAAGGGCTGCCCGCACGGGCTGGGGTGGGGGGCCGCTGTTCATCCCACCGCTGAGCCCACCCTCCGCCCCCAGACCCCATCTTCCACCTGCGCCCCGAGGCGGCCGGTGCCGCCGCCGTGTCTCGGGAAGCCCTGGCCCAGTGGTCGGTGATGGAGAGAGCCTACGAGACTGACCTCTCCGTCCTGCAGTGGGTGGAGGAGCTGGAGCAGCGTGTGCTGATGGCAGATCTGCAGATCCGGGTAGGTGCCGGGCCAGGCACTGCGGTGGTCTCGGCTGGGCACCCACCCTGAGCCTCTCTTGTCTCGCAGGGCTGGACATGCCCCAGCCCCGACTCCACGCGGGATGACCTGCAGTACTGCGAGCACAAGGTGGAGCCCCTGGAAGACATCACTGTCCGGAGCCGGCGGGACGGGCTGCCGCTGTGCCGGGAGCGCACCAACCCCCTGGACCTGGCGGTGCTGCGGCTGGCAGCGCTGGAGCAGAACGTGGAGCGGCGCTATCTGAAGGAGCCGCTCTGGCCCCTGCACGAAGTGGTGGTGGAGAAGGCTGTGCTGAGCAACCCCGAGGAGCTGAGCCTGGGCCCCACCGAGATGTAAGCCCCACGCCCCTCCTGGCTGCGCCGCTGGGATGCGAGCGGCTCCGGCTGAGCACCTCCTTCCCGCTGCAGAGCCTACGAGATCACGCCCCGGGTCCGGACATGGCGGCAGACACTGGAGCGATGCCGCAGCGCAGCCCAGGTCTCCCTCTGCATCTACCAGCTGGAGAAATCCATCGCCTGGGAGAAGTCGGTCAACAGAGTGGTGAGAGCCCGTGCCACGCTGCTGGGTGGGAGGGCCAGAGCCGCCTGCCAGGGCTGGCCACCGCTGGGTGACGAGGACCCCCGCACCAGCGTGGCTGAGCCCCCCTCCCCACAGACCTGCCTGGTGTGCCGGCGCGGTGACGATGATGAGCACCTGCTGCTGTGCGATGGCTGTGACCGCGGCTGCCACCTCTACTGCCACCGGCCCAAGATGACGGAGGTGCCTGAGGGCGACTGGTTCTGCTCTGTCTGCGTCTCCCAGGTAGGTCGCGGGGCAGCCCCCCACCCACTGGGGCCAGCGGTGGCGACCCCAGGCTCTGGCGGTGACCCCCATCCCCTCCCCGCAGGCAGGGGAGTACCGGGACCCCATCTCGCCCCGTCGAGGCAAGAAACGGAAACGGGGGCGTCTTTTCGCGGGGAGCCTTGTGGAGGAGGAGGAGAGCCCGCGCCGCCGGCCGGCCTCGCGCCGCCGCGAGGGGCTGCCCGTGCCGCGCTATGCAGGCGAGGGGCTGTCTCCCGCCAAGCGGAGGGGCACGACGCTGCGGGGCCAGCCCAGCGACCTGACCTTCTGCGAGTGAGTGGAGTCGGGGGGCACGTGGTGGGGGGGGGGGGACGAGGGCCTGGGCCACGCCACTGGGGGGTTCACCCTGACCCTGCCACCCCCCGCCTTCCGCCCCCAGGATCATCCTGATGGAGATGGAGTCGCACGAGGACGCCTGGCCCTTCCTGGAGCCCGTCAACCCCCGTCTGGTCCCTGGCTACCGCAAGATCATCAAGAACCCCATGGATTTCGCCACCATGCGCACGCGGCTGCTGCGGGGCGGGTGAGCGGGCGTCCCGGGCGGGATGAGGGTCCCTCGTAGGGATGGGAGATCCCTCGGGGGCCAGCGGGGGTCCCCGGCCCCCACCGACAGCTCTCCTGCCTGCAGGTACTCGAGCTCGGAGGAGTTTGCGGCCGACGCCATGCTGGTGTTCGACAACTGCCAGACCTTCAACGAGGATGACTCGGACGTCGGCAAGGCCGGGCACGCCATGCGCAAGTTCTTCGAGAGCCGGTGGGAGGAGTTTTATCAGGGAAAACACGCTACTAATCCGTGAGCAGGGTGGGCCGGTGCCCCCCCACCCCCCCTTCCCC